CAAGTGACGGCCGTCGCCTGCCGTCCGGGTTTGCCGAGTGTCAGCCGGTAGGCACTCGCCAAACCACTTCTTTACCGAGTGCCAGACCCTGACACTCAGCAAAGAATAACGACAAACTATTTTTTTCGCACTTTTAAACTCCAAAATTTTTGTCGAGTCCTCTTACAGTACATGAGACTCCATGTTAAAATTTGGTATATTTTTATGGTTTTTTGCTATATTTAGTTAATTTATTTCATTTAATTGATTTTTTTTAGAAAATGCAAATTTGAACGGCACGTACATCGAATAATGGAATTTAATGATTTAAAAATGATATTCATGGTATTGAGTGTAGTGTGAGGCCGTATATAGGAACGGACCTAAAATTTCGAACATCTTGTTCATGAAACATGACCATGAACTTGCGAACGAGTTGTTTTTAAATTCTATAAAATGCAAACGAAGTCCGAAAATCATGAAACTTATCGAGATGTCATGATATCATATGTGGAGGATGTGATAAAAATTTGAGAATGTTTGGTGCACGTTATCACGTACGATGCTTACAAACTAGGACAAGTGCATCGACCACTAAGCAATTGAAAAATGAAGAGTGGTGCGGTATCATGCTATATGTGTTGACCAACCTTGTCGAGGTGTAGCCGTTCATTGGGTAAGTTCTGAATGAACTTGTTTCATTTCGCCGTATGTCCTTGTTTCTTCGTCCAACCCTCTTGTTTCTCGTTGGTACAGGGAATTTCTTCGTCAATCCTGGCATGGATCAAGGCAACATACCCCGCAAAAAAATGATACCCTTCTTTCACAAGGTGCGGGACCAGAGAGTCCCGATTTCATTGGTTGGTTTAAACAGAAAGCCCATACTGATGCACCTATAAGTGACGAGCTGAGATAGGTTGCAAACGGCTGTGCCGTGAGGGTCAAGTCATTTACCGGTTATGACGTTAATGGATATCGTTTTCACACAGCAAGCTACGAGCAGAGTCGGCCCAATCAAAAAACCACAAACAGCGGAGTTGTTACGCCCGGCACTGATGGACTCGACTATTATGAAAGAATTGAAGAAATCTACGAACTATCATTCTATGGTTCCAAACCTCTTACTCTTGTCATATTCAAATACCACTGATTTCATCCTAGAGTAACGAGACGGACCCCTAAGCTTGGGCTAGTCGAGATTCGACAAGATTCCGTCTATCTAGGAAAAGATGTCTACATTATGGCTCAACAGACCGTCCAGGTTTATTATACGTCATACGCGTGCAAAGACGTCGAGCATCTTAAGGGTTGGTCTATTGTGCACAAGGTATCGCCACACGGTAAACTACCTGTCCCAAACGATGAAGATTACAACTTCAACCCAAACACATATGATGAAGAGTTCTATCAAGAAGAGGGTCTATAAGGGAGCTTTGACATAGACTTAACCGAAGATATAGGAATGAAAGTAGACAATAAAAGGGATGATGACGAGGACGCTGGAGACGAGGTGCGAAATCTGAAGGACATACAAATGCTTGAGCGATTATGTTTAGGCATTGACAATGAAGACAACATTTCTCCTTCAGATAGTGTTGATGAGTTGGACAATGTTGATAGTGATGACGAGACCTATGATCCAGCTAATCTCAATCATGAAGATTATTTCTAATACATGTAATACTATGTTTTTTGTAATTATGTTTTGTTCATTTTTGCATATATTTCTAATACATGTATTACTATATTTTTTGTAATTATGTTTTGTTCATTTTTGCACCTATTTCTAATTACGTCTCGTTTTTCTTTTTTATTGCAGGTGATTGAACAAAGATGGCGGACGACCGTCATAGGTCCGTGAACTCGATTTACCAAAGACCACGTCAGCTGCAGGAGGAGGCGAAGGGGGTGGCGGAGGGATCGGACAGGAGGAGGAGGAGGACCGTCAGCCGCAGGAGGGGGCCGTCTCCTCCCACGCTGCGTGAGGAGGAGCTGGAGGAGGAGGTGGCGCCCATGGACGAGTCGGACGAGGAGCTGGTTCGACAGACGGATGGGGAGGAGGGGCTGCACGAGGACGACGAGGCGGCGGGCACGGGTTCCGCTTCCTCCGACTCCTCTTCAAGTGTCTACTTGCGAGGTCCTGTGAGCCTCCCACAGGTTCCGCTTCCTCACCAACGTCCAGTGATTCGCCCTGAAGGGCAAAAGTAACTTTATATGTTATCACCACTACTTCATATGATATGATGAAAAAAAGCTAATAATTTTTTTTAATCACTTGTGCAGGAACTGGGTGGTTGTGTCGGGTGGTAGCGCATGGCTAGTCAACAGCATCCTGCGTCTTCTGTGCAGGCAACCCTTTCCCGACATTGTCACGTACGCATCGAAGACGGAGCCGGCCTACTCGTTTGACCACTACGTCGTGCCCTCGATGCGGAGTACCCCAACAAGGCGGCGTGGGTGAAGGCAAAGTTTTGGATAAGTCTCCCTCGCACAACATTGCTCAATACGTCGCATTCATTGGATTTTTCTTGAAATAATGAATGGATACATCGCTTTTGTATGCAGACTTATTACAGATGTGAGGAGGGATTTGAGGCCAGAGCGGAGCTATTCAAATAATCTTGTCTCACATGCAATCTTTGCTCCTTTGTGCAGTCTCCATCTGACGGTGGTTCGAATAATCCACCTCATGCACCTTCGAATGATGGAGCTGGGTCTTCACCACAGTCGCAGTGGTCGAGATGAGTGCATGTTGTATTTTTTCATTTGTTGTTCACTTGGTGATGGACTTGTGGTATACTTGTGTTGCACTTGTGGACTTTGATGGACTTGTGAATTTATTTGGATGGACTTGATCACTTATTATTATATATGTGATATATATTGTGATGGATGTGATATGTGCGGATGGATGTGTGGATGGATGAGATATATATGTGATGGATGAGATATATATGTGATATATGTTTGTATGAATTTATTTGTCATGATGTAATGTAAAAAAATTAAAAATTATCGTTTTGGGCCACTTTGCCGAGTGTTGCACTCGGCAAAGGACCCTGTTGCCGAGTGCCATGGTCATGGTACTCGGCAAATAATTTTTTTTAAAAAAAAATCAAACTTTGTCGAGTGCCGGCCAGAGGGCACTCGGCAAAGAATTTTTTTAAAAAAAATTCAAACTTTGCCGAGCGCCGACCAGAGGGCACTCGGCAAAGAATTTTTTTAAAAAAAATTCAAACTTTGCCGAGCGCCGACCAGGGGGCACTCGGCAAAGAATTTTTAGAAAAAAAACATCTTTGCCAAGGGCCAAATACAGGGCACTCGACAAAGAATTTTTTTTAAAAAAATAAAAAATCTTTGCCGAGTGCCTGCAGGGTTGGCACTCGGCAAAGCGACCATCAACGGGGTCGGCGCCGTGACGGTCGCTTTTCTTTGCCGAGTGCCCCCGGGGCTCTCGGCAAAGCCTTTGTCAAGTGCCCGATAAAAGACACTCGGCAAAGAGGGCTTTGCCGATCAATTTTTTGTCGTGTGTTCTTTGCCGAGTGCAATTTGGCCTTTGCCGAGTGCCTCAGGCACAAATCTAGTAGTGTCTAGCTTCTTGTTGGAGCTGTGTACCCTTTGGATCTCCTCCGTCCCGCGAATGTCGGGGAGCCCGACGACGCCGACGGTGACACCTGCCGATTGAAGCGGCCGGAGCAAGCGGCAATGTGCGGCATCGAGGATCTCCGGCTGTTTGTGGCCGCCACGATGATGATGACGTCAGCCGTATCCGTGGCCGAGCCCGTCCATCTCCGTCGAGAGGCCAAGCACTGGTTTAGCGCGTCTGCTCCCGCTCGTCGTTCCCTCGCCGATGCCCGTGCTGCGGTCTTTGGCGGCCTGGCGTCGATCTCATCGATGAAGACGAGGCGGGAGAGCGCAGGCGCCTGGCCGACAAACGCGTCTCGATGAACTTCGAGCGGACAACGAGAAGAACGGCACACCGAGGACGCGACCTATTCCGCCTCGCGCCTTGCCGAGCCGACCTCTTCTTGGCGACCTCCGCGTGTCGTGCGACTTCCAGAGTACGGTTGTGAGAGATTCGTCTCCGACTTCCTCGGCGCCCGCCACGAGGGGCAGTGTGAGCACACGTCCGCCATCGGCCGAGCTGGCTGCCTCCTCCTCCGCTTCGCCCGGGCGCTTTCGCCGGTCGCCGCCCACCTCGCCCATGATCACTCCCAGGACATTGAGGACATGCCGTACGGCGCGCCCATCTCGCTCGCCGTCCAAGTGCCCGCGCCAAAGGAAGGGTATTTTCTACTATGGTTATTGTGAAAATAAAATTAAGAAATAAGATGAGAGATAGTCTTTTTTATTGTTGTCTAGTCATCTTGATTGAGCGCAGTGATGGATCCAGAAAAAATATCTAGGGGGATGGACTGAAGAGAGCAAGTTTATCCCAACATTAGAGACGATAAAGATTGATCTTTTGTTCAGTACTCGTATCATGTGAGAGATCCATAATTGCATGTGAGTGTTCAATCGTGCAAGCACAATTTATTTAATTATTTGGCACTGTGTTCTTTGTAATATTTATGCAGTTATGGAGAGAAACGGGGACATTGCATCTCTTTTTCAGAAGCATGAAGCAAAGAAGAAGGCAGCGGCAGCTACTGTTATTTCTAATCGCTCAAACTTGAATTGCAGCTACATAATTATATTGATGACATAAGACAAGATGATAGCTTCAAAGGTCTAGACAATATTGTTGATCTCTCAGTTAAGCTTATTGAAACAAAGAGGCACAAAGTGTATGATATGGTTTATGAGCTCCTCAAATTGGTATTGCCTCTACCTGTGGCAACGGCAAGTGTTGAAAGGGTATTTTCTACGATGGTTATTGTGAAAACAAAGTTAAAAAATAAGATGGGAGATAGTCTTTTTTATGATTGTTGTCTAGTCATCTTGATTGAGCACAGTGACGGATCCAGAAAAAATATCTAGGGGGGCTGGACTGACGAGGGCAAGACCAACTTATAACTCAATTATGTCCCATACATAACTAACATATAGCAGTTTTAAGCATTTTATAACACGATAACTTTGATAAACAATTGAAAGTGCATCATATTTCACAAGAAGTAAAAAATATAATTGAAAACGACAAACGGGGAAAGGAGAAAGGCCCACGGCCCACTTGGCCTATTGACGTTACTGCCTTACTGGGCCAATTTGGGTGGGGGAAACAAAGAGATGGAGAAACAGCCGATGCGTCATCTTCAACCTCTGTCGACCTCTCGGGTGTTTCAGATCTCCAGCCCTTCCTTTCCTTCCTCCATTGCCAGTCCACTGTCTAAAAATTCTTGAGAGGGCTCTCGGGTGTTTCATGTCTCCAGGCTGAGGGGGGCTCCACAGGCGCGGCCACGGTAGGGGGGCTTGAGCCCCCCCAAGCCCTGGTGGCAGATCCGCCACTGATTGAACGGGGTATTTAGTTGACGAAGAAGATATAATCAAGACATTTATGTCCCTTCGAAAGCGTTGAATAAAATAGTCACAAGAATAGTATTGTAAGTCTTCGGTTCTCTTTTATGTCTTATTTCAATTATCGATATGGCTTTTGAACTACTTATACTATACTTAGGGGATGGTTTGAACTTAATCTATGAATTGAAGCCTTATTATGTTATTTAATCTATATATATCGAATCATGTTGTCAATTTTATAATTATTATCAAATTACTAAACTAGATTTACGGAATTGTATAGAAAAATTTTAGGCGGCATACCTTTAGTATTACAGGATCCAGCGGACCGTAGCATAAGCCGCCGATGAGCAAGCTGCGGTGGTACCGGCTGCACAGCTCCGCCGTGGGCAGCCTGCCCAGCGCCTGCATGTAGAACCCGTGGATTGTTGCAAGCAGCATCCGCTTCATGGCTGCTCGGACAGGAGGCAGCTCTTTGGGTGGTGCTGCATAAATCTTGGAGCTTGCTGCCGCAAGACGCCCCTTGCCGAGGTCCCACAATCCTTTCAGCTTCAGAACCAGATCATCCGGTGCCACCGCGTTGAGTGCGCCGAGGACTGCGTCGCCCAGCGTCTCGCGTGACAGTGGCGCGGGCCCGCCGAGAGCTTCCACGGCAGGCGAGAGCAGCTTCTTCCAGGCCTGCACGAGCCACCGCGGGTCAGGGTGCTTGGCGGCAGCCGCCGCGCACCTGAGGGCGACCTCGGCTGCCGCCTCGGTGATCGGGGAGCACAGATCGAAGTCGTCCCGCATCCCGCGCCTGCTGATGATGAGGAGGGCGGCGACGAGGGGGTCCAGCTCGGCGGCGTCGAGGTACGCCAGGGCCTCCGCGTCGGGGAGGTAGGGGAAAAGGCACGTCAGGAAGGCGATGAGTCCGTCGAACGACCTCTGGGCCATGTGTGCACGCGCCCTGCTGCTGTCGTCGTCGTCCTCCGTCCATCCTCGGCGGCGGCGGCGGCGGAGGGGCACCTTCGGAGTTGGAGATGACGCTGTTGACTAGGATGTTAGTGTCGGGATCGAGGAGGCCGAAGCTCAAGCCGTTGTCAAGCTTCACCTCGTCGTGGATCCTCTCGATCTTGGCGAGAACGGGTCTGATCTCATCTTGCTTTTCGAAGATGCGGAACTCGTCCTCGAAGTTTCTCGGGCCGTAGATGCGGATGTAGCTGCCGCTGCTGGCTGATGTGTCGTCGCCCATAGACGTCAGGCGTTCCGTGCTTGTTGCGGCAAAAAAACGTGTGCTTGGGGATCGTCGGGGTTGCCTATTTGAAGGAGGGCGAAACCGAATACCAGTGGGAACCGGGGACGGGACTTTCCATAGCACCTACGACTTGGCTGCTCAAATTCGTTCGGTTTCCGAACAAGCGGCCGCGGGAGGCCACGCAGGGGCCGGTTTTGGGTCGGGCCCAGCAGGTTTTAGGTCCAGCAGTGCCAAACGTGTGCCTATTTAAACAGCACGTTTAAGGGAGTGTTTGGGGCTGCTCCGCTCTACGCTTTCAGCTCCGCTCCATGTTTTTTTAGCTAAATAGTTTCAGCTCCACGCAGAAAAAAGGTTGGAGGTGCTCCACAACTTCAGATTCTTGTGGAGCTGCTCCGTGGTGGAATTTGTGAAGCAAGTTTGTGGAGCAATCCCAAACACCCTCTAAATAGCTAATTTAACTAATACTCCTAAGACCTAATTTGAGAACTCAAATCCCCTTAGAAACCCCGACTTTTTAAAAACCCTGATTTTTTTTAGGGTGAGAAAACCATGGGGATGTCATTTGAATAAGATATTTAATTATCTACGAGAGGTTTTCCCTCCCTGGGTTGGCCTCCCCCTTCTTCCAAATTAGGCCTAAGTTTGTCTTAAGAGGGTTTTCACGATTCCACTTAAGATGTGGTTTGCACTAATTTTTTTCAATTAAATATAAATATGCTGTGATTCAGCATATAATGATGAAACGTGTGCCTATTTAAACAGCACGTTTAAATAGGATAACAGTTTCAGTTTCCAGATGATCAGAACCCGCCGACAAAATTGGCGCTGCCTGGATTCTGTTGCGTTTCATGCTCAGCCATGCCCGAGGCCCACCTGGCAAATGCTGCCCAATCTTGCCATTGTCATTTGTTCCTTTCATTCAGTGTACAAACCCAATTCTTACACTTATTTCATTTCATTTGAGAGTGGAATTGGTACATACAAAACTCAGTAGCCTTATTACATGAACTGATACATGGCAGCTCCAGCCCATCTCCCCAGTTGGCATCGCACCAGAATTTCAGTATTAACATGCACAGTAGTAACGTTACAGCACCGCTCTGTAAATTCTTTTCAGGGTCACCTAATCATCATCAAAATAGTGTTTATAGTATGTACACCGTGACTATAATGCTATAGGCTTCGCCGTCCCTCTTCGGGGTTGTGCATTTGGCCACCTCCCACGGCACGCTTCAGTTCTATCCAGAAAACATAAACGTGAAACAGCATGACGAGTTTTCTCCGTATCAAACTTTTGCATAAATTGCCTTTATCTATCCGTTCTTCTTGGCAGTTCCTTCCCCTACTTCATCAACAGAAGTGCATCACGATGACGCCCTAGGAGGGTCAATGCAGTTGCAGCTATGTGATGGGCAGTTAGGCCAGCCAAGTCAAGTTGCTCTGCCAGTGAAGCGTGTTCAATGTACCTGTCTGGTAGCACAATGGGTCGCCACTGCAAGTTACAAAGAAACGGGTGCCTTGAGATTAGCACATAGAAACAACAAAAATCAGTAGATCACTAAACACAACCTAAAATTGCTACCAATTAACACATCAAGAGCACTGGAAAGTGTAGCTGCGAAGCATGCGGCCGGTGCCTCCATTGTAAGATCACAGAACAAGCTCCGTGCTAGGTAGAGGTCACAAACAGCATCGCAAAGTGGCGAAGGTACCTTTATTCGGCCATCAAGTAGACCATCAAGTGAAATAAACTGTGAGACATGTGATCCAAAGCCACCAACTGTTCCTTCTTCCACTGTGATAAGAAAACTATGCTGCTGGCATAGCGTTCTGATTAGATCGATGTCAAGTGGCTTGCAAAATCTCGCATTTGCAACTGTCGCCTGAATGCCAAAGTTGGATAAAAGAGATCGAGCAATCAAGCATCTCTGGACCACCTCGCCATAGCCAAGAAAAGCGATCTCTTTTCCCTCGACAAGAATCTCTCCTTTACCAATCTGAAAAAGGGTACGGAGAACATCACAACCTGCCTACACTTCAAAATATCTCATAACATGGTGACAAGTGAGAACATAAAAGGAACATTTATATACTTTCCAGATGACAAAGCACATCTTTCTTGTTTTCAAAGCAATGGATTGCTTTATATTTTTGTAATGGTAAGAAATACATAGAAGTGGTACACTGCCTGTTATTCTTCCGGTGATAAATTAAATGTTGAAATAAGAACATGAGGTTCTTAGACATCTTTGTGTGCAGCCCGGCAATATGGTAGATGCGCTTGAAATGTTAGGGCTGTACTATTTGCAGGTAATGTTGACTTAGAGCAAAATATATTTAAGGGAACCTACCTCAAGCGGATTCCCATATGTTAAAGTTCCACTAGTCCCAACAATGGCACCCCTAGGATAGCGGAAGCAAATAGGTTTGTCCTCAATCATTGCAGCTGTTGCCACCATGTCAATAAGTTCATCCTCATTAGATGGTGACATGACAATCATGTTTGGCAAGCATGACATGAATGTAATATCAAATGGTCCTGAGTTAGTTGGGCCCTCAGATCCCACCAGACCAGCATTTGTGATAGCAAATCGAACTGGTATCTTTTGCATGTCCACATCTTCAACTATCTGCCATACATGTGAGCTTTATGAAATGTAATGTACATAGCAGTAAAGCAGCCTCGCAGATTTGGTGAACTAATTGGAGATTATGCACACACTAATTTAGCAGCAGTATGTGTTCGCACCTGATCATATGCTCGCTGAAGAAATGTGGATGGAATTATGCAGAAAGGCTTTAAACCTCCACAGGCCAAACCAGCAGAAAAGGTAACAGCATGTTGCTCAGCGATGCCCAAGTCAAAAAATCTGTCTCGGAACCTGGACTGGAATAAGCGGAGTGATCGATCCATTCCCATGCCACCATGAACTACCACAATGCGCTTGTCATTCTCTGCTTCTGCTGTTAGTGCTTCTATAAAGCAGTCATTATATGTCCTAGAAAGTCCAGTCTCTAAAAATTTAAGGTCGTCATTGCTCGAATTTGAAGGCCCTGTTGTCACCATAAAAGATTCATTCAATTTATATAGATTGTATATGTAAAAAAAATACAGCTAGTAAGGAGTAAGGACTCTAAGAGGGCAATAGTGTACCATGACTGCAAAAGGATCAGTACATTAGCACCCATAGATTCTTAGTGTATTAGAATGTGGCAACTTAATCGAACCTGTAAATGGTGTGACTTACATTGAGCCTAAGTTGCTAATCATGACTTATATACATATTTTTAAAGAAGCTTCTTTGGCATGAGTACTGACACTTCCTCGCATTGCCATGGTTCTTCCTCCCATAGATGAGGAACCCCAGTGCAGAGGTAACAGAGCAAGAGAGCAAAAAAAAATACTAGGCATGACTCCTAATTCAGCAAAAGAAAAGTAAAACAGCATGCATATTTTGATAGTGACCTGTATTACAAACCTTCCTCATTTGCAGTTATTTCACTTCTAATATTTCCACCAGTGTCACTTTCAGTCCCAGTAATTACATGTACAAGTACTGGGCCAGTTGAATCTAGGCTCATAACCTCCTTTAGTACACAGATGAGATCATCAATGTTACGCCCATCAATAGGACCAATATAATATAATCCAAGTTCTTCAAAAGAGTTGCTCCATGAGGACCTATCATACCACGAGCATACTCATCAACTTTGGCAGCAAATTCATGCATTCCTTTGCCAAACCATTTGGCAAGTCCCTAGGAAGAAAATTTCGAATATCAAAATGAGAATATTCATATAGCATAAGACTACACCATAAATATCGAAACAAGAACAAAGTTGATTTTCTAGATAAAGAAATCAGATGTATACAATTACAGGCATTCTAAAAGGTCCAATGCTGTGTTTACAATACATTCTTAAGGGATATAAACATTTACCTTTGCAGCCTCCCTAAACCTCCTAAATCCTTTGCTGGATTGAATCTTGCTGAGAGCACTAGAGAAGGCATTGACTGACATCTTTGGCCGGCCATCTGCTTTAGGAAGCAAGGTATGACAGCTATCATTTAGAATAACTACCATGTTGGAATCGAGGAAACCAGCATGACCCATTGCCTCGTACACCTGGCCAGCCATGGTTGTCCAATTACTTATAACTGTCACTATTCGATTTTTTCTCCCATTTAAATCCCTTGCAACCGCCGCCATCCCTGATAAGAAGTAACTCTCAAACTATATATAGAAAGGAAATGAAACTTTAAAAGACTGTATAAAAGAAGCAAGATTCAGGAAATGCTGAACAGAGCTTGGATTTTATCATGATGTGTAAAGTTTTGTGATGATAATTTAGATCAGGCTCTGTCTTTTCTTAAAAAAGAAAATCTCTTAGTGCTGCATACATAATTGGATTCAGAAACTAAATCCAACTTTATTGAATTTTTCAAGTAGACAAACCATTAATTAAAAAAAAGCATACAGGTGAAAATATCACTAAGAAATGACTGAGAATCATGTCAATTCCATTCCACTTGCAGAGAACAGTTCTGCTCAATAACATAGATACAATTTGACATGCAAGACAGTAATGAACAAATAGAGGCAGTACCAAGGCCAGCAGATAGACTATTGCATCCATGTCCAGCACCAAAGGGATCATACTAAGCTCTCAAAAGCGCGACGTGAACCCGGAAAGGCCATTTTCTGTTTAATAGTATGAAATAGAGAGCGCCTTCCCGTTAGAATCTTGTGCGCATACGCCTGTTGCAAGAAAACCATTGAGCAAAAAAAGGTTGAAGATGACAAAGTTGAGTAATACAAATACCTTACATTTGAAAACAGTAACAGAAAGATGTCTTACATGTTGACCAGCGTCCCATAGTATCTTATCCATTGGGGCATTGAACACATAATGTATAGCAATTGTCAGCTCCACAACTGAGCGACCAGGACCACATGGTTGGTATTTTCTGGACATTATGAAAGCTATTTCAGAACGAACTTCGTCGGCTAACTGCTTGAGCTCCTGTTTTTGTTTAGGTATGCAAGCGTCAAAATTTTCTCAAATCGTATGTATTATGACTATGAGAATGGAAGCCCAAAGAGTATGACTCTGACGACCTTACTAGATAGATTTTTCAAATGAATGGGTGCATCAATTGTGTCCAGGATTGAGTCGGGTCCTTCTCCCAGAAGAAATCATCAACATCAGGTAGTGCGGCCACTCTCTGAGTCAAGCCCTGCACAAGAGTTGTGGTATCAGATCACAGCCCTTGGAATTTGATCCAGGCGTCAATGTATATCTCTAACGATATATGTGAAGTTTGGAGCTAAAAATCACGAAAGAAACTCAGAAGTTCCTTCTATTACGCCTTGCAACTTCGGGAAGAGCATACCCTTGATGGTGAAGCTGGTGATGTTGTTAGCAGCGGTCTCGAATATATTGGATTCCATCTCAAATACCGAAGAGTGTGAAAAGGGTAGCTTGTGGGGCGCAGAACGGCAAACTCGTCATAAACCAGATTACGAGCGAGCGGAGGACGCAGAAACGCCGTGTCCATGGTGGAGCCTGGCGCCAGCTGATGCCCCAAATCCTGCAATTTGACGATCCATTTCTAAGAAGAAGAAAACCCGAACCGGAGTAAGACAGCTGAATCTGACGAGCAAACAGCTTCTTCCCCTCCAAATTAACAGCACCAATTTAGCTTAAACACGAACGGAAATGACCGCAGCTACCTTAAACCGGCAGAAGATGCCGCCGCCGTGATCTCCTCCTCCCCTCGCAAGGGACCGGCGGCCGGATGCGGCGGCTACTGAGTGACGCCTTGAGGGTGGGACAGCAAGGCAACCCAACGGGTCTCTTGAGTCCGTCTCTATGATGAGAATTTTGCGAAAAACACCCCGCCGATGCTTGCAGACGGGGCTGGCGTCGTCTCGCGAAGCGACGGGGAAGTCCCGTTGCCCGAGGCCGAGCCGCCGTCTCCAACACCGCTGTACGGGTCGCTAGCCTCCCCAACCCGAGGGCACGCGGATCCAGTGCGCCCGCGGTTCGCTACTTGGGCTAGGCGTGGAAGACTGGTGGATCCACCGTCCACGGACGGCGGATGCACAGGGCGCGCGGCCACGCGAGATCGCGATTCACTGGCAGCCGGCGGTGGGCAGAGTCGAGCTCGTCGCGAACGATGTCTGGGCTGCACGCCGGCCGGAATATGCTGCGAACCTGGAATAGTATTTTTCGCTTAGCGCGCGTTTAGTTTCCAAAGTTGGATTTGGTTACCGTTTCATTTTCGTTTTTATTTGACAAATAGTGTTTAATCATGGATTAATTAGGCTCAATTACCGTTTCATTTTCGTTTTTATTTGACAAATAGTGTTTAATCATGGATTAATTAGGCTCAAAACGTTCGTCTCGTAATTTCCTACCAAACTGTATAATTAATTTTTTTTTCGTCTACATTTAATGCTCCATACACAGACCGTAAACATTTGATATGACAGATACTGTAGCAACTTTTTAAAATTTAGAGTGTAACTAAATAAGGGCTTACAGTAAATCGATCGACGGTACTTTATCAGCCAAACGAACACGAACAGGTATTGAGCAATCCAACCAATTTAAGAAAAAGGTACGCAAGTACGTAATTCCATTTTCCAAATTGTTAATTCAATCATCCTGTAGCTGATTAAAAAACTAGCAGTAGCTTTGGACCTTTGCAATTGCAAATTTATAATGTAATTTAGAAATGCCTCTATACTAGCAGTAGCTTGCAAGATGTCGAGAAGAACATCCGTGTATGTGTAATTAGACAAAAAATCACAATTATAATATATAATTTATATTGATAGTTTTAAAACGTAATCATCTTATATATGCTTGATTTGTTTTCTACCAAATAGCAACACACCGGTATACAAAGTATTATCGATGGTTGATCTTACCTACATGTAAAACATTAAATAACTTATACACAGTAAACTGACCGTGTGTTGTATGACTTATCTTTTTAGCTGTTTGTAGACTTTTACAGACACATGCCGAACGCAAAGTTTTAATCTTTTTTGTGTCCTAATATAGCATAGAGTTGATTAATCCCACTATATAGTAATGATTCCTCTCCAATTCTGCTGTCCTGTTCGATTTAACTTATTAGACGGCTTATCAGTCATACTTCAGCTTATTCTCTCTCACATAACACTATTAAATCAGCCGTGAAAACCATCGACCGATAGTCAATTTGTCTTATGAAAAAACTGTAGCCAATTTGCGACGACTTTTCCCTACGCGGGGGCTAATATGAGAAAACTACGTCTTAGAAATCTAATTGGGGGTAACATGCAAAACTCTCGGATCGTGATTAGACTTTAGACCCTCCGCAATGTGCTAGTGGTATAGATGGCCAACGGGGCTTTGATGGTCCGGAGCGGCCTTGGCACGCCACGCCATCACGCCAAGCGTGCACCGCCAACGGCCAGAACACGGCTTTCTTGGGCAGCTTTCGGGCCGGGCCGGGCCGAGAAGCACGACCCATGTAGCATATCGGGCCAAATTTCGAGGCCCACCTGAGGGAAGGGAGAGAGCGAGGCGGGGCAACCACGGAGAGGCATGCCACGGCCGTTGCTTGTGCTTGGCCCCGGCGGCGATCCGGCCATGAGCGCGCCGCCTGGAGGTGGGGCTTCGCGGGGAGGCATGGAGGAGGGCCATGAGGCAGTTGCCGGCGCGCTTGAATCCGGTCGTCGCTGCTCGAATCTAGCCAGGGACGTCACTCGGGAGGAAGATGACCGCACAAGAGGGAGACGTCGTCGCGCGGGGGGAAGAGGCGAGGCCGCGAAAGGGAAGCGCGAGCTACGAGCGTGCGACTGTGCGTCTGCGAGGTGAGAATGGGAGGAGCCAAGGAGAATGGGGCGACCCGCGACCGAGAGGGTGAGAGTCTTGCTGCTGGCTGGGGCCAAATGGCAGCGCTTCTGCGACCCTGTACTGGATGGGTGAGATGTAACACCTCTGGTGTTTTGACCTATCATTAAAATTTGACATGTCATCATATACATTGCAAAGCATTCATAAAGTAGAAAATGTTGAATGCATTCACTAAATAAGCTTTATTTCATAATGTTGTTATTTTATGTGATGTGATTCAAAACCCTAAATAAAGATCATGACCACAAGAGTCAAAATTCATGTGATCATGTGATGCCATGTGTCATTTGACTCAAATAACCCTAATGGGCCATGTTACTGGTCAAAAATCAAAGTTAAAGTAAAAGGAAAACAAATTAAATTTGAATTCAAATTCATATTATAAAAGTCCTTTTTGCCCCTTTTGACTAATTCAAAATCCATGTGGAATTTGGGGTTGAGGCAAAAAGCAAAGTTGAAGATTATTTTATAAGGGTCAACTTTGGTATTCAAAGTTTTTCAAGTTTACATATAAAATTTGGAGTAATTTTGAAATGATTCAAATACTCAAATGCACCCCAAATTCAAATTTCAAAATGGAGGCAGAATTTGAAAATGTTCCTTGAAGCAAAGTTGTAGAGTTTGAAAAATTGAGCAACTTTCATTTTTTGGAGATTTTCAACTTCTTTAGAAAATTTGTGAGTAATTTGCAAAATTAACGTAGTGGCAATTTTGTAAATACATCAGAATTGAAAAAAAAAACAGCCGAGCGCCACCTCTCTGCTTGCCGCCGGCGCCACGCGGATGTCGCCGCCGATCAGATTGCGCCGCTTCCTCGCGCATTGACACGCAGCTGGTGCCGTGGCGGGTCCGTTTGTGCGCTGTCGACGCCGGGCAACCCCTTCCCGGCTATAAATAGCAGCAGCCACCGCCGTCGTTCCCGTTTTCCCCTTCTGCTCTGCTCCACCGCCAGCTAGCTCCGCCGCTCGCCGTAGCCATCGTCAAGCCGCGTCCGTCGTGCCCAGCTACGCCAACAAGATCGCCTCGGTCTTGCGCTCTCTGTGGCTTGCTCATGTCGTTTGGGTTGGCCGGAATCGTCCGACGCAACGTCTTCTTCCCCGAGACCGGCCGGAGCTCAACCACCATTGACTCGACGTGGCCAGGCCATTCCAGACCGTCTCCGTCTTCACCAAACGTACCGACGTGATCGTGGTGAGCTATTGAACGCGATACTCACTTTGTTTTAGACTCTACTACGCCATTGCCGGGGTTACACCGTGAGCCATCGTGCTCAAGCCGCCATGGCCGGCGTGGAGTCTTCTCCGGTGCGCCTTCTGCCATTCAAAGGGCGGGGATGAGTTCGTAGGAGTGTGTAGATCATTTGGGTGTGGTCTGCCTCGCCGGAGCGTCACCGTCGGCGCATTTTGGGCTGCCCAGTGATGGCAGCGCCGTCGTGACCTGTATGTGTCACTGACGAGTGGGGTCGGGCTGTCAGTGAGAAGGAAGGAGAAGAACAGTGAAGTTTTATTATTTTCTGATTTTAAATAGTGCTGAAACTTTGGGAATTTGTAGGAAATTAATCATAACTCCAAAAATTCTGAAATTTTGTGTGTAGCTTCTGTACATGCTCTAGTATGGTTTAAAAATTTGAAACATGAAATTTGAATAAATTTTTAATGTTCAAATATTCAGTCCATTAATTAATAAATGTAATTTCCATGATTTTTGTAGGCCACTGTATAATTCCAAAAATTATGATATTTGTTTTGGTACACTAATTTGTCATGAGAAAGCTTACATAAACTTTAAGGTCATTTGGAACAAGATCATTTTTAGGCTTATTTCCAAATTAATTCAAAAATAAATAAAAGCAAACCCTAAGTGTTTGATTAGTGTTTGATCTTGTTTTGATCATGTTTTGTGACCAGTAGGGTTTCAAGATCAGTGGTCGGAGAATTCGTCGTAATGGTCGAAGAGTTCACCGTAGTGGTCGGAGAGTTCACCGTAGTGGTCGGAGAGTTCGCCGAAGTGGTCGGAGAGAGTTTGGCTTGTAACTGTACCGTGAAGGAAAGTTGTATTCAAGGTGTTGTTATATTTCATACACCATGAAAGCATCATGTTTACATTATCATCATGTTGAAGCATATGCTATTATTTCGTGTAGAATCCGAGTGAACTGATTCTAGTTGAGCAAGTTCTGGAAGAATCCCCGGTTGTCACGGGATTCAATAATTGTGGTACTGATCGGGAACCTGAGATCGTCAACGAAGGCAAGCCCCCGTTTATGCATTAAACCATTACCTTGTTTACTTTGACAAGTTTATCACCTATGTTACTTATTGTATTAAGTTGATTTATTCAAATGTTACCTACTTGATGCATTGCCTACCTTGTTGATTGTTTACCATCCTTGAAGATGATTTCATTTACAAAGGCGTAGAATTGCTTAGTATGCTTTATGGTAGGTTTTCAAAGTAAAAGTTTCGATACAATCAAAGATGGCATACTGGCCAAAGAAAGAAAGAAAGAAGATAGAATGAACTAGAGACTAGTTGGGTGGCTTATCTTGAATGTTGGGTAATGTTGCCGACTATGTCGCTTAAAGGCAACTCATTGTGGATCTTCTGAACGAGACACTTTGTAGTACTGGTCACATACTCCGGTAAGCCTACTTCGGCTAACCCGATACTAAGACGAATGCCCACGCACTAGGAGTGGTGAGATGGCGGGAGTAGCATGTACCCTCGTGGCTTGAATGTGGCCGGATTTGAGGTGTGCTGTGCTCTCGGGTGGCGTGGAGACGGCTTAGTATAGGAGGATCCGGTAGCGAGGTTGATATATGCAAGATTAAGTTCTACATATGTCGTGTGATAAGGAATCCCCAGCTGGGACTTGAATCAATTCGAATTGCCGGTGCTCCGCGGATATGGAGACTCGATTCATTATAGAAGCAATGCAGGACTGGTGAATTACTAAAACATGAGAAAAAGAATGGAATGAGAAGGATTGGAACATGGGATATGAACACTTGGTTGGAGATAATGAACTAAAGTACTTAGGGGTAAAACTTGAAACTAGGATCAAGAATAGTAAGCTTTTGGCAAAGAACATTTGAATCTTTCTACATCCTTACCTTGACCCAACACCTGCATCCTTAAGACCTTCGCCCTTTTTGGTCGGGTCAGTCTTGTTGAGTAATTTTGTACTCAGGGTTTGTTAACCCTTGTTGCAGGTGAGTCGCATGTGTAGGCTTGTTTTGGTCACTGCTGCATGTCAGTGTTTGAAGTCGATAACGATGAGGAATGATGAATGGCCTTTGGACAAGGCACTAGTTTCTGTGAAATAAACAATGTTAATGTAATATTATCCCGCTACTATGGCTGTATGACAATTATGGTTTTGTAAGTTTGAAACAACTGGTTTGTAATATTAAAACTTAAGTATTCCGCTTTATAATCTCTGGTATGTATATTGAAAACTGTTGTAATATGCAATAACTGTGATTGTGATCCTGTTTGGAAAAGATTCGTGGATGATTCGGGTTTCCCGAGGACATCCGACAGACCTATTAAGTTGTTGGGAACTTGTGTACGCTATCTGAGGTCTGTTGAGACATCAATAGATGCACGTGGGCCCGATTTCTTAGGAGGTTCTGCCACATGAGAGAGATAGTGAGAGGGGAGGGGGAGTTAGGGTTAGCGGCAATCGTTAGCCTAGTGGTGGGATACTGGGATGTTAGCAGGCCGTACCGCCACCGGGCCGACCCTTGTGGACCAGGCCGTGCCGTGCCGCCCGCCGTGCTTGAGCAGCGGCCCAAGCACGACCCCGTGTATCGGGCCGGGCCGGCCCAGGCCCACTGCTCACCGGGCCGTGCCGTGCTCGTGTCGGGCTAAAATGTTGTGCTTTGGGTCGGACCGTCGTGCCCCGAACTGCATGGACATTTATAGCTAGTGGTGCCTGAAACAAAAAAGGTGATCCAGTGAAGAGAATGGGCTTATGGGCATCACCCCTTTTGGGCTGCAGGGATAGGCATCGCCTGCTAGGTTCCACAATATAGTGAAATGGATAAACAATAAACGCAATGAATGAATGGCTTGAGAGAGCAGGAAATGAAGAGCATGCCATATTTTTCTGATTTATTTAGTCACCAGACATCGGAGCCTACACAAGTGCACATACATCGCTGCTAGGGATGGCAGCGGGTCAGTTGAGGTGGGGGTAAAGCATTTTGTCCGGTTCGCCTGACTTATAAGCCGTATTTTTCAGCCAATGAATAATATTTTTCTCTCACAACAAATCAGTCAATAGTACTTTCAGTCATGACTTATCAGAACAGGGTATTTATCCGCACTGAGCATACCTATGATCTTAACTTTTACCTGCTGCGAGCATTCTATGAGTAAGATTTCGTATCCATGCCCGTACCCGACGGGTACCCGTCAGGTATATTCGAGAGAAATAATAAATTCATAGTTAAACGACACATAAATATGGCAATCTTACTTACCGAGTTTACTAGGACAATACGTAGTAGCTCACATGTCACAGTGCATCGTAGATTCATAATTCGATCGCTCACGCTCATACAAATAACACAAAACAACTTACACAAGAACTAAAGTGACAAGTTAATAGCTCACATAATCACTTTATTCAACCATCTATAAAAAAAATAACATCTTCATAGTTCGACATGTTATACGTACGCTACAAATTACATGTTAAATGAACTAGTCAACATGATATGCGTATGACATTGGTGAGATATATTCATATATATTCTCAAATTGTGGGTACCCACGGGTAAAATTTAATGCCTGCACCCTACCCTCATATTTGCGTGTACCTGATCCTCGTGTAACCACGGGTGAGTTTTTATACCCGTGCCCACACGGTATGAAACCCGCGAGTACCGGTGAGCACGAGGAAGATTGGACATCGTAGTTGCACTGTATTGATTTGAAGCACCACTCTAAGCCAACATGGAGGGCCTTAATGCTCGATATCCGAATTAGGGGGTCTTTTTAGAAAATATATTGGTCGTAATTAATAGTTCCGATCAAAGTTAGGTGTATTTTTGGAAAAACACAGGATCGAGATTAGTAGTCGCGGTTCAACAGGGGTTTTTTAGAAAATGTTTTGGGCTGATCTGCAAACTTGCGGTGAAATTCCGGCTTCGGCTTCCGCGGGGTGGATTTGGATACCGCGGCGCAGGAAAAAATGGCGGCTTCAGTTCTCCACCTCCGCCTCCTCCCCTCGCCGCCGGCGGGTGTGAAGCTTCAGCAGCGACAGCTGCGCTCGGTGAGCCCCGTGGGACCCTCTACTGCACCCTTCTTCATCTACTCCCTTCTCGCTGCATTCCTGTTCGTTTTCGATTGTGCGAGAGGCGGAGCCACGCCTACCGGGGTTGCTTTGCTGCCCCATGTGCCCCACACGGCCACACCCAGGACCCAGTACGCTGCCCGCCATGGCGCTGCGCCACGACTTGGCAGAGTGGAAAGTATGGAGCGGTCCGGGAAGTCTTTTCCGTTAACTGTAGTGTTCCGTAGGCTTGCCGGGCTGCCTAGCCATTATAATGCTCTAGCATAAGAGGATTCGCGTGTGTCGATGTGTGTTTCACATGTTTATGAACTCTCAGTCTCTTACTTATGTCACTTGGAAACCAACGGCATTTTGATTGCGCAGTTAGATGACCTTACCTTCTTATTAAGAGACTAAATTGCACAGATGACTTTACCTTTTTAAGAGGCTAAATTACAATTTTCATTATTCAATGAGCATACTTGGGCCTTGAATTGAAATCATTTGATTGCTGGTTTAGTGAGGCCCAGTTTGTTTGAGCTTCTGCTGGATCCTTCAGGAATTTTAAAGCATGTGAGAATCAATGAAATTGCTGTGCAGACATATGTTTTGAGATTGTGTGCTGTTTGTGCCTGATGTTTATTGCAGAGAATACAGAGGCAGGGTGGACTATCTCGAAGATTTTTGAAAGTCGTGTCCTATTACGGTCTCACAACTCCGCCATATAAACTGGTCTGTAAGCTTGTTGACGCCAATCTCAAAAGATTTGTGTGCTGACATTAAAGGAATGTCCAAATTTTTGCTTTGTTTACCATTGTTTTGTGGTACAATGTTCAGGATGCTCTGGAACCTTATATGAGCAAGAGGACAGTTGAACTTCACTGGGGTAAGCACCATCAAGATTACGTGGATGGCTTGAATAAGCAGCTGGCTACCAGCCCTCTGTATGGATACACTCTGGAGGATCTGATAAAAGAAGCTTACAACAATGGCAATCCATTACCAGAGTATAACAATGCAGCACAGGTAACTCATTGATGATACCCCGTTCATTATATTTTGCTTGCACTGATCATCTTCTGCCTGTCATTTGTTTTCTTTCAAAAAGAAAAACCACAATTTGTGCTTTCGCCAATAGTAGGATGGTTTTTGGAGTTCCAAGCTTCTGTCTTCTGACATGCAGGTCTGGAACCATCACTTCTTCTGGGAATCAATGCAACCAGATGGTGGTGGCTTACCTGAGGGAGGTGTACTGCAGCAGATTGAAAAGGATTTTGGCTCATTTACTAATTTTAGGGAAGAGTTCATCCGCTCATCCTTACAACTATTGGGGTCTGGTTGGGTTTGGCTTGTCTGTAAGTTTCCTTTCCATTTTCTCTGAAGTACAGGCTGCACTGATTCAAGCTGCTGATTTTCTGAATTGCTCTTTCTAAAGCTAATTTCGAAGTTTAGTTTATATTCCACTGAATATTTGTTGCAGTGAAGAGAAATGAGAGAAAACTTTCAGTGGTTCACACACGAAATGCTATCTCCCCACTTGCTTTTGGCGATATTGTATGTTTACTAGACTCCCTTTTGGCCCTTGATGTGTTTTCTAAAATGTTTAAAGTACAAACTTTGCAATGACACCCCATATTCTCTAATTGCAGCCAATCATCAGCCTAGACTTATGGGAGGTAAGGACATGAACTCTGAGTTTGTAGATTCTATTTTGTGCCAAATATTAACACTTCTCCTTTTCTCTCCAGCATGCTTACTACTTAGACTACAAGGTGTGGTCTAGTTCTCTTTTTTTGTGCTTAACACCTAATTTTGAATTTTGACAAGTTAGTTATAACTTAGCAGAAAACATCTGTGGTTCTTTGTTTCTCAACTTTTCAGGATGATAGGCTAACCTATGTTACAAACTTTATGGACCATCTCATCTCTTGGCATACTGTCACTCTACGCATGATGCGTGCGGAGTCTTTTGTGAACCTTGGTGAGCCAAATATCCCGGTGGCATGAGCTACAGATACACCCTAGTTACCATCATGAGGTAAGAATTTAGGGTGAGTTTTCCCTACTCCTGCGTGTAACTACTCCCACATGTGTATCTCACAATCTAGAGAGTATCTGACCATACTTGGGGTGTCTAAATAAAGTATGTGCATATACAAGATTATTCAAAGTGGTATGCAAGACAAAGATGTGGGGATTTATTCAGTGTATGGACATACTCCTTTTTACTATACAGTAAATGCGATATATGACCATATGCAAAAAAATATGAATTCCGCTTAAATTTTTTCATGGTTATATCTTAGATTGGGTATGTAGATACACCCCACATAGCTTTGGGTATGTACACATACCCAAAGTGGTTTTTTCAATGTGTGAGACCAGGTGGGAGTAGATACACGCATATATATATATATATATATATATATATATATATATATATATATATATATATATATCACGTACTCCAACTCAGGAAATGGGGCACTGTTTAGTTACTTTGTGCTTTTTTCCCAGCTATTGACTTCGATAGTAGCATTAATGTTCAGAACATCCATAGGTTTCTAGTGCTCTCTCATGGCACAACAGAACTTCTCTTGGAAAACTAGTACATGAGGAAACAGAATACTAGTATTGAGATTCATGCTCATGCACCATGAGATATCAGGTTACATGGAGGTTTTATGCAAAGGTTTTCTTTTTTTCTATTTTAGTTAAGGCCAGGTCAGAGTCGTGCCCAAGGCTTAACCTGCCACTGAACTGAGATGACAATTAGAGGCTGTCACTATCACATTATTAGCACTAGGTCGATCTTTATTGGCAAGGAATACTGCTATAAAGCACCCAGTCCCTCACAAACTAAATAAAACAAAAAAGCATCCTGCGTTGAGCTAGTTGATGCGATGTTCTTGCATCTACTATACTTATATGTCAACATTAATTATTCAGGCCTACAGAGGATGGCAAATGGTCCAGTTATCTTCCCTTTTGTCACCTCATCTAAAAGCAAATATTTAATATCTTCTATCATGTTGTTCGGTGTGCAGCTTTTAAGAGTTTGATCCCTTGTTTTCATCCACTGAATAGGTATCCTTTGGATACGGTGGATCAGATCCTGCTGGAGGAACCAGAGAGTTGCAAAGTCTCATCTCTCATAAGAAATGCTTATCACCCTAATGTCATACACGTGATGAATGTAAAGATAAGCTGCTGGGTTTTCACCATTGCCCTTGGGTATTGCTACAAGGAAATCACTAATCAGCATCCAATTTGAAGACGTTGAACAGGGCAGCTTTAGAAGCTTTGGAGCCGATAGATTATGGAGTTAGTGATGGTCCAACTTGGGCTTTGAAGCCATGGCGCTTCCTCTAGACGGCTATGCTTCAGAATGAGTGCCCATAGTGTTGTTAGAATAATTTTGGTTCTGTGTGTTTCATCAATTCATCATGCTAGTGTTCTGTTGTAGCAGAACTTGGAATAGAATGATATTCTTGTTTTACTGGTTGAGGAATCCTAATAGTTTTGGATTGTAGGGAAATCTTTTACGCGTTTCCAACACTGCAACTATGAATTTTTGTCTGAAAGGAAGTTGAAACTTCATAACTTGAATGCAATGATATAGTCATCCAAAACCTGCAGACCATGAGCGCCGTGGAACCGTGTAATTTATTACAGTGGCAGTGGTTGATCTAACATCTGTGAAAGATAATATGCACTTCTAGTTTTGCTGAAAAGGATATCAGCAGTGCATTTTCAGTAAAACTACTTAATTCTCCTAGCTGCTGCATCAGCATAAGACTGAACATGAGAAAGCAGACTGAGCTATGCTTGAATGCTTCTGCCGCCAGATTCTGTAAAAGTTCAGCAGGAAACTTGTGAATCACTGTGAGCGTAGAAAAGAACGTCTGCCAGATCGTGAGCAGACATTCCCGACGAATTTGATACGATGAACTGTCGTTGAGATATTCTAGCTGACAAAGCATCCACCACTCTCTTTCCCAGTTGCTCTGTTTCCCCTGATCTTGACGTCCATTTTGCACGTCCAGTTCTGTAACAGTCGATCGATGCCATGTTCTCTGCACCAGCCATCGTAAAAAGGCGAGGCCTGCTCATTGTTGAATGCCCATCCCCTTGTAATCGTTGCAATCATAGATGACTGTACTGCAGCAAAGGTGTTTTTGACATTTCGAAGCAGGTAGCAGCATGGGCTCGCAGCCATGACGACTCTGCAGTCTGTACAAACAAACGGTTGCAGTACTGAAGGCTTTTTGTCAGCATGGGCCCAGACCTTCATTGATCTCTAGCACTAGGGCCTTGTTTAGATTCTAAGTTTTTTCACTCTCTCTCCATCACATTAAATCTTTGAACACATGCATGGAGTATTAAATGTAGATAAAAAAATAACTAATTATACAGTTTGATTGTAAATTACGAGACGAATCTTTTGAGCCTAGTTAGGCCATGATTGGACAATAATTGTCAAATACAAACGAAAGTACTACAGTGTCAAATACCGATTCCCAACCATCATCTAAACAAGGCCTAGCACATGTTGTACCATCTACCATGCAGGTTGTTGCAGCAACTGCAAACAGAAAGGACGACACCGAAAAGATCTTGGCAAACTGTTCTGCATCAGTCCACGCTGATGAGCGCGGCAGGTTAACCTGCTCAACCTGTCACTGGAGAGTGGAGAGCAGCCACTGATCTTTTGGTCTCAGATCACTGATCTATCTTGTGTAGTGTAGGCAAGATCTGGTGCAGCAGCCCAGACGCTGCTGATGGTGATAATTCAGACATGAAAAGAACGGCCCTACCCTACGACAGTCGAACAAGGTTCCCCAGAACCTGAATTCTGCCATGATTGCGGCACCCTTTTTTTATGAAAAGAGAAGAAGAAGAATAAATTCCATCGGAACACGCATAGCAGCAGTACAGTACAGATAAATTGCGCGAGCGAATGCGTTGTGTTCAGAATCGGAATCGGGTGATTAACAATAACAATAATAAAAGATGCGGTGGTTCAAACCATGGTTCGTTACGAATGCTCAAACTGACAGAGTAATCTCTCTTGTACTACGACATGCATGCTTTATTATGTTTGCAGAACCAGACCAGACTAAAGGAAGCAGGCTACTGAAACTGAATCATCATCATCACTAGGTAGGTAGAAGAGACGGAGGCGATCTCCATCTGCATCTGGACCGTCCTCTGGAGCCGGAGCCCGGCCTAGTTGCAGCAGCAGCAGAGGCAGTCGAGGCAGCACTCGCAGGTCTCGTAGCAGCAGAAGCAGCACAGCGCCGTGAAGATGCTGCACATGAGAGGAACAAGAGTCCGTTAGTTCAGCAGAAAGCGATCTTCATTCTTCAGGTACACAAGTCGGGATGATGGAAAGTAAGATATTTTAACGATCATCTATTTCACGCGCAAACAAGAGCGCATCCTGGATGCTGAACAAGAAATTCGACTCTCGAGATGATGCGAGTCAAGCAGTTCCAGGCCATCTGGCCATGGCTACTAAAACCGAGCTTGTTTTTTTCTTTTCTTTTCTGACTGAATGAACTCACTCAAGAGACGAACGAAGAAAGAAAGCATCTGATGATCGAGTTGTGTCTGAAAGGAAGAGACGGAGCTGTAGCTCACCAGGCGTAGAGGCAGCCCTTCTCCTCGTGGCGCCTCTGCACGTGCTCGAAGTAGGACATCTCCTGGGCGGACGGCGCGTTGTACATCTTCGCCTGCTGCCTGCCTTGCGGAGCTAGCTGTGGCCTGAGTGGTGGGTTGCTGATGAACTAACCTAGCTAACTGTGGTTTCGTCTCTCCTGATCTTCTTCTTCTCCCTTGGGTGGAATGAGTGGTGGGCTGCTGGCTGCCTGCCTGGTGGGTAGAATTTATAGACGGGGAAGAAGAAGAAGAATATTCGTGTGGTTTTCCACCCTACCTATAGAGATTATACTCGGAAAATGGAAAATCCGCCCCATGAATTTCACACCCCAAAAAAGGGCTACATTTCTGCGCGCATACGGAGTAGCATATGGAGATCAAGTACCGTGAATACCGGACTAAAGACTTCAGTGTTCAGTCTTTGATTTGGTTGATCAGGATACTAGTTTCAATTCATAGACTTTTCTTGAAACAGGAGGCAGCCTCCTTATGTGAATAGCCATTTTTTACTTTTTCTTTTTTTCTTTTTTGGAAAGGGAATAGCCAGTTCGGAATTCCTGGTAGGCTAGGAAAGAGTGTAGAAAGAAGCACACTCTAGCAGCACAGAAACAAAAAGGTGCCTGTAGGCAAACGGCAGCCGTTTCAGTCATGCTATGCATGCCCTATGCATGCGCGTCCCGTGAGTGGGTAAATCAGGTGCAGCCGTGCGAGATCCTTCTGCCCCCTTGCCTCGCCACTAGGGATTGTGATGCTGCCAAAGGCCACCAACAACTCCAACTCGCCATCCATCTACCGGCGAGCTACTTAAGATTCTCTCCTACAGTTTGGTGCCATGACATGGGGCCAATCGTTCGTCTGACGAGTCATGAAAAAGGACTGAATCTCTAAACGAAAGAGAGAGAAAATGGAAGAGTGGCATACATATGCAAACACATGCTTTTACTGAATTTATTTGAATATAACGCGTTTGGTGAACTTGCTGGTGAACTACCGGTTCCCTAGCTCTGAAACGAAACCAACTCCATCCAGTTGCAGGAACCACGAGCCATGAAAGAACACCGCATGCACATGACAGAACACAACAGAACGGAACGGAGAAGGAGAAGAAGAAGATCGTTCTCACTCACCATCCGTAGAGGCAGCCCTTCTCCTCGTGGCGCTTCTGGCAGTGGTCGTAGTAGGACATGTCCTGCGGCGGCGGCGGCGCGTTGTACATCCTCGCTGCCTTGTGGCTTCTCCTCTCCTCCTTCCTCTTCAGGTACGGTGACGCAGCAGCAGATGTTCAGCGACCTCTGCTTCTGCTTCAGTTCTCTTCCTGCCTTCTGCACAGCAAAGGATGGAGAGACGAGGTCGTATTTATACACAAAAGGCAGCAGCGAGGCCACCATTCGTCAATGCCAGGCGTGTTACCTTGGAAGAGTCCCTGGTTGCATCACATTTCACATGCGACAAAAAAAAAGGGTGCCTGGAAGAGGTTTGTTTCTACAGTATTTCTGCAGGCACAGGCGTGCATCCATATTATATGCCTTTGTTTCCTTAGCATCGAAGGTTTGTACGCAATAGATGGCCATTTATTGCTAATGAATTCATTTTGATATTATGGCTCCTTTCGCGTTCCCTTAAACCCGATTTGATCCACTTCTTTTTTCATCTGGAACAGTTTTCCTCTTACAAATTCATCCAAATTCCTCCAGAAACATACCATCCGAACGGGGCCTATATATCTATAAGATTTTATACGCCAAGGTCATTTTGATGTATCTATAAGATATATATATATCTATAAGAGATGGAGACAACACTAAAGGTGTGACGTGATGGATGTGTTCTAAGTAATTCCCGGGTCAGCAAAGAAAAGGATGCGATTGCATTTATATAGTAGCATCTGTTCCAGGTTTCAACTCACATTTTTCACCTAACCCTCTTAGTATATGTGTTCATCTCATGATGTCATTTGCTCTTCCTCTGTTAGAGGTCATGCATGGGGCCATTACTTCTGCCAAGCTTATAAGTGGATTCGGTATTATTAATTAACTAATTAATTTGCACATCTTGAGTGAGATTTCTGTGGGCTCAAGATATGCCTGAATACTAAGGTGACACATTTATTATTAGGAGTGTCAGATAGAGACATAATAGTGTATGCATTTGTATGTATAGTAGTCCAGGCATGATGATGTCGCTAGCTTTCTGAACATCATGGGACTCTTTGTGAAGTTGCAGTGGATTCATTGTCAGGGTATATTGTAAGAGGTTTATGTGAGCTAAAGATATCCCTGATTAAGGTCAGGGTATTCATTGCCAGTGATAAAAGGTCTCAGAGATGGTAAGGAAAACTGGAGTCGTTGATTGAGATATATTTTATTGTGTGCTGGCGGACTTGACAGGTCAGGTGATATCTCCAAGGGATAGAGATAGAGTGTGTTGCCATCATCTCATCTCATATGAATGAATGTTTTGCTTAGTGACTAAGAGATGAGATAAGAGTACTCCTAAGGTTGCGTAGAGCTAGAGATACTAGTAGTATATATATACTAGAGGCAGCGGAACGCGGATTCTCTTCTCCGTCCGTTGCTGACCGTGACCAGTCGACGTGCTGTCTAAGGATTCGTCGTGCTCGGAACTGCCGATCGAGCGCCCGACCTGTAGCTGTAGGAACAAAAACACAACGCTCTCCTCTCTCTCTCTCCGTCTGCGACCGGTGAGTCCACACGCCACACGCCACATGCTACCTTTGTTTGATATATGATGTTTTGCTAGAGAAATTAACCTCTCAACTACCTATTGCATACGGCATACCTATGCATCACTACGACCGGCATCTCAAATACATATTAGTGACGGTTCAAGGATATATTATAGTAGTGACAGGAAAGAAGCATGTCTGTCTGTCCACACACTGCCATTGCATATGTTGTTCTGCTATATACTTATGGGCAGTTCGGCTGGTAAGAAAACCAGCCGGATTTCACTGTGCACGGCTGGTTTTTATTGTTCACTCTCTTACAATTTTTTTCAGATTCTTCTAAATTTCTCCCAGCGAACAGGACCAATAATAATAATAATAATCGTTTTCGACAATGACAGAGACTACCAATGCTTGATCGATGCATGTGTGTACCTTGAATTGAATCGATCGGTCGCTGTTAGCACGATACGGTGGCGCGAACAACAGTTTTAAATGTACATTAATTATGGGCTTAATTCTTTGGTTCACTGACTCGCAGACTTGTTTAGCACCATGCTATTGATTTTGAGCGTCTGGCGACCATGCCAACAAGCCAAGGACGAGAGCACGCCACAAACCAAATAAAGAAGCCATATATTAGCACATTTCATATATAATATAGTAGTCTCTCCAACCACACGCACACAAACAATGGTTCGTTTTATAAGATGGTACTACCAAGCCAAGTCTAATCTTCCTAAGTCCGCCGGCGTATCAAGGGTCCGTTTGGTTCAGCAGTTGTGAAATAAAAAGGATGCTTTGAGTTGTGAGCTATGGGTCGTGGAAAAGACGTAAGCTGTGTTTGGTCGGAACAACTCTTAAACCTACCCACTCTCTCTATCTCCCTTAAAACAGTTGCGAAACATCTCCTTATTTCCATGCATTCGGAAAATGACCACAATAATCAAAAAGCAGGGTCCAAGGTGCAGGGGTGCATTAGTAGCTTTCAAAAGCTCTTTTAGTTCAGCGTGAATTTGGGCAACACCGAGTTATTCGCCACAAGCTGGCGACGTGGCATGTCTAGCGAGGAACGTCGAGTCTACGTCGAGCTTTGGATCCATTATTCCTACAAATAATTATGTCAAGGGTCTATTTATAGAAATAGTTTATAAAAAGAGGTAAAATAGAAATTTTTTACCACGATCAGGTGCTCCTAGATGGATTTCTCCACCAACGTGGGTAGCAAAGATGAATGTGGATGTAGCTGTTGGAAAGACTTCGGACGTGGCAACAATTGTTGCATTAGAGAGCGGTGATGTAGGCATATTCCTAGGCGCCTCAGTGGTTCCGATGAACGGGATCCCTGAGTCATTGGAGGCGATGGCATGCAGAGAAGGCTTGTGCTTAGCAAACGATCTTTACCTAAGTAAGACGATCAAGCTTGAGAGAATGTTGTCCGGGTCCTCAAGGAGGATGGAATGGGTCCCTATGGACATATTATTCGAGAAATCTAAGGCGGTGGCGGAGCATTTCAAGCGATAGAGTTTGTACACGAAGGACGGGCGTCCAACGACGAGGCTGGCGGGCTTTTGAGAAACTCGATTTATGAGTCCTTAGATTTCGCTTGTTGACTACTCCCTCCGTCCAAAAAAGAATACAATTCTCATTTATCGAGAAGTCAAACAGGTTGAACTTTGACTAAATTTATATAAAAAATACTAACATTCGTGATATAAAATAAGTATCGTTAGATTAGTTATAGAATATATTTTCATAATAAATTATTTAAAGACATAAATGCTAATGCTATTTAATATAAAGTTGGTAAAAATGAGCTTGTTTCACCGGCACAGTTTCGACAATTATATTCTTTTGGGGACTAGAGCATCTCCGAGAGTACCTAATATTTTCTTATTAAAAACATAGAGTTTTACGACTCCTAAAAAAAGTATTGGAAGGAATAAAGAAGGCAATCTCCAAGAGTTTCTAATAATGCACTCGTAAAATATAGAAGACAATTTTACATCAGGAATCATATACTATTTCTAAATTATTCTAACCATTTTTATATACTCTTTCTCTCTTATACATTTGCATCAGGAACCCATTCATACTCTTTATTCTCTGCACGCCCTTCCACCTTTAGATTGGCCGACAAACACGCGAGGGGAGAGAAGATAAGTGTGACTCGGAAGCGCGTAACTTTACGCGGAACATGATGAATTTTTTCAAGTTCTATAAAATTAGGAGGATGAATTAGAAGTTGTTGGAGAGGGGTTTTTCCTCGTCTGGCTAAACACCAAGGACTAGATCTTAGGGAACTCTCGGAGGTGCTAACCATCAGGCGATCCTAAAGGAAAAGTGGATCTCGTCATTTATGCTTCTCGTTTGATTAGACATTACCAATATCCGTGACCAGGAGGCACGTGGGCCGGGAAAGCTGGAGTTTCCTTCATGCCATCCGGTTGCCGCTGCAGAGGACACGAGTCTCTGGGCCAGATCAAGTGGGCGTGCCGCGCGCGACGCCTGTCTTCCGAAGCCTGATCCTGCTGGGCTGGGCTCTCCAGTTTCAGCGGCGCGACTCCTCGCGTGCCAGGCCCAGGAGCCTGCTGCTGCTGTGCTGCATTTGCATGTGCATGCGAGACCAGGAGACGCAGTGACGCACAGGCCAGACGCCAGAGCGGCAGAGCAGACGAGCGCTTTGATCGTGTCAGTCATGATACAATATTTTTTTTCTCACAACAAAACAACATCAGCCAACTTATAAGCCACAGAAACGATCAAACGTCCTCAGAACGGCAGACGAGCAGAGGTAGCAGCTGCTAAGCACACCCCTTCTTCGGTCTCCACTCCGCCTCCATCCCCACCATACATTCCATATCGATCGCGCGTTGAACATCGGCCGATGCTTGCCAGTGCCAGCAGCAGCACCTCACCTACCCATGCCTGCCCAAACTCGGCATTGTTTCGTTGTCCATCACAACAATGCAAAATTCATAATAAGAACATGACAGTATCAAGGGGCTGAAGCCGCCAAAGAACTAACACCAAGCATTACAGAAAGCGTGCCAACAACCATCAGCTTGCATACAGCTAACCAAAACGAACAACAAAAGCCAGCTCCCACGACCTTGCTAACCAAGTGCTCCTATGCGTTTTCTTCTTCTTCTTCTTCTTCTGTATACAAATAATAGACTTTATATAAAACTAGAATTCTGTGATAGCAATTGTTCTCTCCCTCTCTGCGTTCCATCCCTCTGCGAAGTACCAAGGACGAGCTAGTAAAGGAGGAGTGCTGATGTCACACAACACACACACAGCTAGTAAAGGAGGAGTGCAAAATGTTCGTTACTACTTTCCTAACTATCATCAGTATGGCCCTTTCTTAGTTTTTACCTACTTGCATTATTGTCGCCGGGAAACGAGTGACGAGCGAGTTCACAGTGTAACAGCAAATATATGCATCCATTCACCTACTTGTCGCCGGGAAACGACAAGACCTGTGCACAAAGGTCCGGAATGTGTTGTAAGCCCTGTGAGATTATATAATAATCAAATTAATAGGCCTGGAAAGACTATGAAACAATAGAATAAAGTTATACATTTGGGAGAAGCTCTATCCAAATGGAAAATTGCCAGGCAGCATGATGAAAGGAAGTTCTGGTGGAGGGAAAATCTGAAAATCCTAAAGGACTTCAAGGAATTAACTGTAGTTCAGATACAAAATGGGCACCTACTTGTCAGCTTTGGGATGATAAATGGATGGACATGTCAGCTAAACTCAAGTTTCCTGAACTTTACTCATTTGTGAGAAACAAAGTCATTTCTGTGAGCAAAGCAAGGGAACACACTTAGATCAGTGAGCTCTTCCATTTACCACTTTCTGATCTGGCATATTCCCAAATGCTAAGTCTGACAGACAACCTTGAGGGCACTCATTTCACAGCTGAAAATGACTCTTGGAACTATATATGGGGTTCCAACATGTTTGCAGCAGCCAAGGCTTACAAAAATCTAATAGGCCACCGTACAGTTCATCCAGCCTTTAAATGGCTGTGGAAGACCTCCTGCCAACCAAAGATTAAAGTTTTCTTTTGGTTACTCCTAGAAGACCGGCTGAGTACAAGAAACATCCTAAGAAGGAAAAACACGCACTTAGAATCCTATAATCGTGAGCTCTGTCAGCTTTCAACAGAAGGAACTCTCGCACTGGAGTGCCCTTTTGCCAAGTCCTGCTGGAGTTTAATCAATATACAAATACCAGACCAAGCCTCTTCCCCCAAGTGAGTCTGCCTTTCAAAGATCAGCTGAACTCTGAATTTTTTATGAATGCTGTGGTGGTCATGTGTTGGACCATATGGGGTGCTCGAAACAACTTGATTTTCAAAAGAATTAGTCCGACCATCCAAGCTACTAAAACTGCTTTCATCAAGGAGATGACCAGCACGTCGTTAAGAGTAAAAGAAAGTCGTTCAGAAGACTTCTGCGCATGGATCCAAAGCTGGTTGTAATCTTAAAAAAGGATAGCATTTTTTTCCTTTTTTTTTGTCTCTTGAACCCTCTTGTAACAAACCTGCCTGTTTTGGTGCTCTTTTAATAAATTGCTTAACTGTAGGGGCCTAGGCCCCTCCAGACCCTTCAAAAAAAAAGTTATACATTGAAAGTTGTTGTTTTATCCGGATCTCAATATTGCATTTTAGCTAATGCGATAGTCTTGTAAATAACAACATAAAATTGTACACTGAAAAATGGTCGGATAAATAATCGGAATACGGAATGTTAACCAACAGTTGTAAAGCGTGTTTTCCTTTCCTCACGAAGGACAGCTAGACCAAGAGACCAAGAGACCAGAAAAAGAGTACTATACCTGAGCACTTGGATTCGCGCAAGAACTGACCAAGTAGGGAGTCCCCCCGAGATAGTTCAAGTCTGGCTGCTTTTCCATCATCCAACGCTACTTACTACGTACTCCCTCCGGTTCTATAAAGCAAGTTGTTTTGGACATCGATACGGTCTTTAAGAAACAACTTTGATTACAACTTTTTGCTATAAAATATCTATAAAATATAGTCAATATATAATTTTATGAAACTACATTTCGAGATGAATCTACTTACATCACTTTCATATTTTCAAACTTAACCCAAAAGAAGTTATTTGTAGTCAAAGTTTAAAATGTTTGACTTAAGACAACCTCAAAACGACTTGCTTTATAGAACCGGAGGGAGTAGTACTAATTAATTTAATAGGCTTCCATACATGTGATCCCGTCAATTTAGACCAGACTATAAAAAGCAATTTATTATGATTGTTTGCAGCCTTCCTATTTGGACTTGGACCATTCATGCATGGTTTACGCTAGCTGTTCCATAACCGATCGCGGCCGGCCAGCCAGCCCGAAGTAGCCGACCTCCGATCTGAATGAGTATTATTATTATTATTATTGTTGTTGTAATAATCATCCTAAGGCAATGCTCCTTCATGTCATCGATCTACGTAAGTACTCCACCAGTTCCAAATTATGAAATATTTTAGTCTTGTCTTAATTCAGATTTCTACAGTCCGGCCAAGTGTATATAGAAAAATACATGGACATCCGTCGTATGAAATAAGATTTGTTATGAACTTATGAAGTACTCCGTATGTATATGTGTACGGTGCATTTGTTTAAAATTATAGATGTCAACATATTTTTCTATATAATTTAGTTAAAATTGGAAAAGTTTAACTCGGAACAAAACTAAAAAGGAATTGTATTTATAGTCAGGGGAGAGCTCCGTGCATATATGCCATCGTTATAAAGAAGTCATACTATATATACTTGCCGCCTTTTCATGGCACCACTGAATTGACAATTATTAATTACACACCCCCCCCCCCCTCTCTCTCTCTCTTTATTGAAGCTCATCGTTCCAGTTTTCAAAACTGGACGTGCAGCACGCAGCAGTGCCTGTGGCTCCCAAAGTTTCTTTTCATCGATTTTTAATCCCGTGGCCGGATCCAATTGACTTGGCTTGGCTCGCGGCAGCAGGATATATACGACCATGACAGCTCCAGCCACTGATGAGCCAGCAGCCGCCTATTCATGGTTCGCTCCCGCTGAGAAAGAGAAATCCAGCATCGTCAAAGCCTCAAAGCTGCCAGAATTCAAGCGTGGAGTACCGTGTACTCACTCATTGGAGTACACGGGTCTGTTTGGTCGCCTTTCAAGTTCCAAAGGCTGCCAATTATTTTGGTTTTTATTTATGACGCTAGATATGAAAAGCTCGCCACACATTCTCATCACAATCTAACTGTAACAGTGAAAAAAACGATTGGATTATCCGTGTGAGGCAGCCGCGGATTCATGCATAGTCAAATTAAGGAGAATCAGTTGGAAAGAAAAACTATAACCCTCTCATCCGGCCGGTGGATAATTAATTATACATAGATACGTGGCTTGGATTCACGGCAGATGACCACGGTTGCCTCACGAGTCGAGTACGTAGTTCCCACCGATTTTTTTTCCCCCGCTACGATGCTGTATCAGCCACAGCAAAAGAAAAAGTTTCAGCCACAACAAAAGATGGAACAAGTTTGGCACGCCAAAATCACGGTTTAGTTTGCAGCTCCAACTCAAATACATGCTTCTTTACTAATTTTGCTTCCAAAAAGAGATGCGATGCGAACGGACGGAGCAGAGCGGATGGCCTAAGAAATGAGGATCTGCATTCTAAGAGCGTGTTTGGGACTGCTCCGCTCCACGTTTTTCAGCTCCGCTCCACGTTTTTTAGCCAAACGGTTTCAGCTCCACGCACTCTGCTCCAGGAAAAAGGGTGGAGTTGTGAGAGCACCTAAAGAGGTACTCCATAAACTCCAGTTTTTTGTGGAGCTGCTCCACGATGGAGTTTGTGGAGCAGAGTTTGTGGAGCAGTCCCAAACACCCCCTAACTCTCGGCCGGCGCATTCTGAATCCCAATCCGAATCCGATCCCGGTAATCGCCTGACACGATCGATCGATCAATCGGTGCAGTTTCATCTTTCAAGCAATCCAAACCCAACTGTTCGTCGTGAATGAAATGGAGATGAATAGGGCAGGAAAAGGAAAGAGATGCAGCAGCTCCGTCGACCGATCGAGGTCTCGCAGCTTTGGCCCAGTTCACTTAGTCTTAACGAGTTGTACTGTTTCATTAAAGTAATAATATTTTTCTCTTACAATAAATCAGCGGATTAAGTCCACTTTTGGCCCTCAAATATTATGTCGTCTAATTTTAGCCCTCAACTACAAAACCGTCTAGTACCGGTACCCCAACTGTCAAAACCGTTTACTTTTAGTACCTGGGAGGGGGCAAGGTTGTTTTGACCGACGTTGAGCGGTTTTGACACGGAACCTCCATCTCAGTGACATATGGGGCCCACGCGTCATCGACTCAATCCCTCCCTCTCCATCCTCACGGCCATGCCCTCGTGCTCCTGGACGCCGACGAGGAAGGCGGCCACGTCGACCACGGCAGCACACGCGCGGTCCGTGAGCCAGCCGTGCCACCCGGTGCTCAGGGCATGGTGCGGCGCCGGCGGAGCCTCCTCCTCCTCCACCCACGACCTCGCGCTCTTGGACGTCGTCCTGGTCGCGCTCGGCGACCTGCTGGCCACGCCACGGGCCGTGGCGGCCCTCCACGACGCCGACCAGGTCCTCGACGGCCTCCTTGTGCTCGCGGACGCGTATGACACGTTCAAGTCGGCGCTACTGCGGCGGCGAGCGTGAGCGTGGCGACGCGCGCAGCGCGCCGCCCGACGCGAGGGGCAACGGGTGGTCCCACATGTGGTCCGAGCGCTAGTCTAGGCGCGGCCGAACAACGCCATGCGGTGACGACGACGCCGGTCCGGCGGTGGACAAGCACTGATGGCGGTGGGCTCAGGAGGCCCCGTGAACTCGTCTGGGATGGTGTTGCCGGAGCCGGTGGAGGGACGGTGGCCGCCATGCCGCGCCCTACGTGTAATGGCGAGAGCCTCCCAAGAGGGAGGATTGAGTCGATGACGCATGGGCCCCACATGTCACCGAGATGGAGGTTGCGTGTCAAAACCGCTCAACGCCGGTCAAAACAAAGATTGCCCCAAGCGCCATGTGCTAAAAGTGAAATCTTTTTGACAATTGTAGACTGCCGTGACGACGGACGGTTTTATAGTTGAGGCTAAAATTAAACCGACACAATAGTTGAGGGACCAAAATGAACTTAATCCTTAATCACCGAACAGTACGGGACCTTTCTCGTAAAGCGTGGGAGGTGAGGCTGTCAAAGAAGTAGCATGGCACGGTTTGGTGCAGGTAGTTGGGCCCTACCTGAAAGACGTCCGGCCACCGGCCCGGCGCCGTGCACGTGGCCACCTGCCGCAGCCAGCCAAGAGGCAAGCGAGGAAGAAGGGGGAAAGAAACGAAAAAGAAAACGAGGCGCCACCCGCTTCGCGAAGCTACCACGGCTTCCCAAACTGCCCCTGGCAAAAAAGTGTCAGCATCGGCGGGCACCGGGGCAGCTAGCTGGCCGCGGTGGCACCGTGTCGACCACGCGCGCCGCGCGTGGGCCGGTCAAGTCAGCCGCGCGCCCGCCCGTCATCTCGGACGAGGGAGGCCGGTTGGACAAGCGCCTGTTGGATTCGTTGCGTTCCCGTCTCCAATTTTTTTCCATGGGTGCGCTGCGCGGATGGAACAAATAAATAAATGTACATTATTAGAATGAAATGAGATCTGCGTGCGCCTTTGCATTGGTGTGCTAGCTAAGCACACCGGTTGTGGCCATCATCGTGAGTTTTTTAAAATGTGACTCCACATATTTACATTTGTAACCTACAAGGTTCTTATTCTCCAGCTAGGGGCAAGGCTATCAATTTTATAGTAATGGCCTTCAGAGTTCTAAGAAAATATCCATTTTCAACATTTGTTGAAGGATTCTAGCTATTAGCACCAACCTATAAGGCTTCATTATCACCCCACCACCACCACCGCCCCATGCACATCCTCACCCTAGAAAAAGAAGTTCAGGGCAGCATGATGTGTTGGATTCTAAGATAAATTAAAGTTTCCTTTGATTTTCTTGGAGAAATCAAAATGCCTATTTTTGTCTTAGTTCATGAATCTTCGTTTTTTACATAATTTACATGAAACATTTATTTATTCCGTGTGTCTTTATCCTCGCATTCTAAACAAAGACATTCCTTATCCATCCTTGCATTCTAAATAAGGACATGCTTTATCTAGATAGAACATCGATAAGATTTCCGTGAAGAATAGAAAATTGTAAAACATTTAAACTAAGATTTTGTGGGTGTTCTACCTTGCTCGGCCTACCAGTGGTTTATGATGAGTAGCACGTGATCAAATTGGAGTAATCATTTGAAGGTACAAGACAAGGAGGAGTTGGGGATGTATGGTTGCTAATCCCCTCTTTGTGTTGTGAAAGTTACATATTACATATCAATTCTATTATTTTCTTGTTATTTTTTGCATACACATTTTATACCTTAGAATAAGGAGCTAAGCACACGTAAACATGTGGGCTACACACTTGTCACATATATGCAAGATCCTGCGTTGGATAATGATTAGACCCACATGTTAGATAAAAGACTGTAGATAATTAAGTTGTGGCAGGATTATCCTAGAATTGGGTACTCATTGATGATTATAGGCTTAGATATATGTCCCTACTGTTTGACGTATTCTTAGGAAAAATATCCAACTGCTAGCAATATAGCACAAGCCGAGAGTGCGTCTTTAATTTGTCTCGAGAAAAAAAAAACAACTCCTAAGAAAAGGTTTGGTTTTTCCCTATAGTTTTCATATTCCATCACAGGAAAAGAAACTCCCTTAGGAGCTGATTGGATCCTTTCATTTGGAGAATTGAAATCTACTATAATAAATTAGGCTATTCGGCTTGGAATTTGACATTCCACCGTTTTCCAAAGTTTACATATAAGTCTATCTTAAACCTACAGAAACACGTAGATTCTAGTACTGGATGTGCTATGTATAAAACTAGAATATCCCACTATACAAGATAGATGCAAATATGTTTGATCCCAAACTTCTCTAAATTATAGTTCTCTTTAGCTTTGTCACCTCTAACTTCGATGAAAGGTTCTAGACAAAATATATTAACATCTACACTATCAAATATTATATTGTCATGACATTCTTTTGCATATTTAATAAAACTATTTTCTTGTTGTAAATGTTGATGTGTTTTTTCATAAAAAATAGAGAAAAAAATTACATAGAATAAATCTAAAGCGATCTATATCGTAATTTAACGTCTTCTAATGAATTAATGATGTACTAATAAACTAACTAATTACTGCTACCATCTACAACAATCACCAAACGCTCTTATAGCTGTGTCACGCTCAAGATACATCGCTTTCTTTGCCATCCACCAGTATGGCGGTACGTGTGGTCGAATCAAATTCCGTGTAGGACCATCGGACAGGACAGCTAGAACAAGGAAAAGGGAACAGAAAAAAACTAGACTAAATAATGCAACCCGGGCCCACTGGTTCCGCTGCCCTGAACTGACCAAACCGGCCCTAGGGGCACTCTCATCCTTTCACAGAACTTACGTACTCCCTCCGTCCCAAAATAAAAGACGTTCTCGCTTCCCGAGAAACGACTACCGGCAATTATATATTAAAATATATAAATATTTATGCTAAGTAATTAGTATCATCGAAAAGATCTTTTTGTCTAGTTTTTTAACAAATTTATTTGAAGATATAAATATTGCACGTATTTTCTACAAATCGAGTCAAACTTGTGGCACGAAAACCCAAAACGTCTTTTATTTTGGGACAGAGGGAGTAGCCGTGTGTATATATATTATCTCCACGCGGTTGCCACTAACGGCTCATCGTTTCAGAAAAAACAGAGAGAGGAAAGAAAGAAAAAACTCATCTCCCTCTCCCTCCTCTCTCTTGTTGTGTGTGCGAGGTGGCGAGCCTGAGGAGCGGAGGCCACAAGTCCAATCCGCTCCAGCACCACGACGAGGAGGGGGGCAGCGGCGGGGAGGGCTTGATTCGGGCTCGTTCCTCGCGGGGGCGCACGGTGAGTTCCTCTGCATGCTACTAGTTTAGTTTCCAGGGCGTGGGCCGGGGCTCGAGTGGTGGATTTCGGGCTGCATTCCGGTTTCGCGAGTAGATCTGGTGGTTTCGGGCGGAGTTCTGTCGGTGCCCTAATGCTGGGGGATTTTTTTTAATCTGTCGGTTTTTGTGGTTTAAATTAGCGGAAATTGACGGGGTTCACGGATGAAATGTAGGGATTTTAAGATGGTGTTGTGCCTGGCCTGAATTGGGCATGAACAATCGCGCAGTTTTGGGTGTTGGGATGTTGTGGATTTGCTGGCAATGTGTTTCTGTTCTTAGCTGAGAAATTGGAGCTTTTCTAGGGATATGATTCGTTTGATTCGGTTGCAAACATGGTCCAACTAGCTTGAGCTGTATCGAGAGAAGGCTGGTTGGATTTCTCTAGGCTAGCAGGCATTTGTTTGCCATCCCCAGGGGCAGTGACCCTCGCTTCCGAATTGATTTGTATGGGCTCAACTTGCTCGAAAAGTTACATCTTTTAGAAGTTGGATGCCTGGATCCGATGGCCTATGCCTGACTCCTAATTAATTTCAGAAAATTGTTTACGTTCTCATATTTTCGGTATAAAAATTAGAAATATTCATTACTTCTTTCCTATGTTATAAAAAGCATTAAGCGTTAAGCGAGCGGTGACCCATCGCCTAGAATTTAAGCGTGTTTAAGCGTTCCTAAGCGTGATTAAGCGTTTTGTTGTAGCAGAAATTGAAAAAAATTGGTCTTGAACCGAACAAATGAGAGATGAGAGTGATAGCAATCGAGAGAGTGCAAATGAATAAGTGCTAGGTCCCTATCCACCATCCCCCTCTCCTCTTTTTATATGGGAGATGGGAGGAGAGATTTTCATAATTTTTATTGGTAAGGCTTGTATTTACAAAAGAGCATCTAGAGATTGTAAATGTACCCTAATCATTATCTCACAAGCCTCTTCACTATGTAATTAAACCCTGAACACATTAATTGGGCCCTGACACCTAATATATAATACTCCCTCCGTCTCTTTTTATCTGTCGTTTGCGTTTTCCAAGAAACAACTTTGATTAAATATATATTAAAAATATTAATATTATAGTACATAATTAGTATCATTGGAAATATATTTGAATCTAGTTTTTTAATAAATTTATTTAGAGATACAAATGTTGCACGTATTTTCTACAAATCGAGTCAAACTTGTGGCACGAAAACCGGAAACGACAAACAATAAGGGACAGAGGGAGTACACCCCAACACAGAACTCAAAACATCCGGCATACATTAAATTATCTGTTGATCTATCAAAACATGTTAGAAAAGGCGAAAGGGCCTTTGGTCTAGTGGTAGTGCGGTCTAGTGGGATGCTACCCACCAGAATTTAAAACCTGGTGTTACACCTTTTTCAGAATTTTTTTTCCAGAAAAAGTCGGGTACACCACACATGTGCGCGTTCTGTGGTACTGCATATTTCCCGCGCACTTGAGGCTAGAACCTCCCAATCTCTTTCTTTGCATATGTACGGACTCGCATGTATGTGTGCGTGTGGTCTGACCGTTAAAAGGTCCTAAACGGCTAGAGGGGTGAATAGCCTATAAAAATTTCTGCAACAACACTTAAGACAAGTGATTAGTATGACAAATGGCAATAAACAAATGTTACTCT